CCCCCCCCCAAAAAAAAAGTTCGGGTTATTTCTGGTCTGTTAATTGCTAAGTCCAACATACCAGTATGTTAGTCACTCCGTTTATAAATATTGGCTTCTAAAGAAAGGGTATATTGCTTTCCTGAGAACATTCAACAACTGGAACGGAGCCTTAACTGATGAATAAGACACTTGTGTAACAGACATGCTCATGCACCTGGAGGTGTCGTCAGACATTTGGGAATAAGTACCTAAGTAGCTGGAATGAGACGAAGTTCATGAGTCACGGCTGAAAAGTAGTCTTTCATAGAATTTCATAGAAAACCAAAAAGTGCTTTTTCCCTTAAAAACAGAATGTGTGCAGAGTGATTAAATGTTATTAGCAACTTCACTTGTACACTGTATTTAGGGGAAAAAACATATAAATCTCTTTTGGATCACCGGTAGACAGGTAACACAATTTAGATTATATCTGGTATCAGGAGGTTTGATAGAGATTATTAAACAAAAAATTATGTGTCCCTGAACTTCCACTAGGCCAGATTCTATTCTAGTGCTATTTTGTTCATAGTTGAAGCTTTTCTTAACATTTTAAAATTGATTTGAGGGAGGAAGAGGGAGAGAGGAGGGGGGAGAAACATCAATCTGTTGCCTCCCGTACATGCCCCAACCTGGGATCAAACCTGCAACCTGGGTATGTACCCTGATCAGGAATCGAACTCGCCACCTGTTGGTGCTGGGGACAATGCTCTAACCAACTGAGCCACCCGGCCAGGGCGAAGCTTTTCTTAATGTTGTTCATATGTGCTGTACATTCTGTCTTCCATATAGCAACCCGACAGCAATGGAACATGTGTTTTTAGTTTCTTTAGTGGTGGTGAAGTAGTAGGCAGTCATTTAGTGGTCATTAAAAGTACAAAACATTCAGCTTCACCCTTGACCAAATCTACCATTTTTCAGTTATTTAAAGAAGTCAATCCACTTTGATTATTCTTTCTCACTTCACCTTTTCATTTTCCACCCCTGCCCTGAGAACAGACTCCTGGGGCTGTGTAACCCGCGGGGAGTGGCTGGCGAAGGGAATTAATGGGTGTACCATAAGGCAAATGATCTTACTTCCCTCTCACCCATCCGCAGCCCCGGTCCTCAACTTGAAAAGCCAAAGGGTAAAGGATTTCAATCTACATAATTTTGCAGACTGTAAGTGTTCAATAACAAAATTCTTGTCCTTAAAATGTCCTCTCAGTATGTGGATGGTCACTAAAAATGGATTCTGATCCACTTTTGTCCACATAAAGCCCATTTCAGGGCACTATGGATTTTCCTGAATGTGAGGACTTCTCTTCTGTCTGCTTTCATGGACCTAAGAACCCAACGCAATAGAAAACAATAGTTCCTGATTTAAAACTCATCGAAAAGGTGTCAATTAGTCTAATTTAGTCACAGTTATAGCTTCCAGATTTATATAGGCAAGAATAAAATCAAAGCTTGGGTGTGCTAGAATTATGTCACCTTTTAAATACAATATGTCCCTACTTAGTCACTTAATTAGTAAATAAAATGGGGAGATACTGTAGCAGTTAACATGTATCCAAGGTCCACTGGAACAACTGGTACAACTGAAGAGTGTGCTACACCCAGAGAATGTGTATGTTGGCCGATTACCATAATCTCTGGCATGTGGTGCCATGTTTGTAAAATGGCTCCT